TTGTAGTCATATTTCTAGTTCAATGGACAACAAAATATTACAGCTTTCAATATAAAAAAATTATATTCCAGCAAAGAAAGAATACCCTTTTATTTCAAATTGTTTAGCTTATGAATTCAAATTTTATTTTAAGTCAATGCAGACATTCTTCCCCCCCACAAAAAAATAGTTTAATATGTTTTATANAGGGTATAAAGACATTATTTAACTGGTATTTCAAAACTAGCTATGTCTCATGAGTTGATGTTATAAAAGTAATCAACAATGGATGTAATTTACTCAACATCAACATACACACACATCGAATTAAAGGCTTCAGAAACATTTTCACAGAACAGGCACTTTATTTCAGCTCTTTGGCAAAATGGAATTATTTGCAACATTAGGAGAACAATTAAAAGGCTAATAGTATGGAGACCAACAGTAATGGGGCAAAGCAGGAAGTTTATCCAATCCAAAGCAAAGTAGCAAGATTAAAATGGTAAATTACAAGAAAATTCAACATATAAACATCAACGTACATTCAAATTTACATAGGTATAAAATATTTAAAAAGTAAATAGAGAATTGAAAGTTATTGTGAATATTATGCAGAATTACTTCTTTCAGGGTGTGCTGAAGTGGATTATTTTTACTGATGTGGAAATTGGTCACACTGACCAAGATTTAAATAATCTTAACTGCGTACATAAATATAAAGCATTGCATTTTATGGAAATATTAGTCGTATATACACAATTCTAAATATGTAGGATAAACAAACGAGTTAAGTAAAAAATATATGTATTGTAAAATCAACATTAAATGTCCCAAGTGACAAGAGAGCACATTGTCCTCACACACAGGCAGATTATTTTATATATAATTTCTTAGCCTTTCATTAGTAAATTACATTTGTCATGCATTCACAAGATTCAAAATAGTCATGATTTAAGCCACAATAAAATCACTACAAAGACAGGAAATAACCGAGTTTCTGGAAGAGTTCAAACAGGTTCAAATCCTGTTTGTTTTTTTGCTGCAGAGGGTGGAGAAAGATGGCAACGTGGTGGCATAGCAGGGTTTTAACTTCATCAGCTATGCCAACATCTTGCCTTCCTTCCTGGACCCAGGTTAGGCTCACACAGGTGGTTGGAACAGTCCATTCAGGAGCACATGACACACCAACAGATAATTACATGCAGACATGTTTGTAAAACAACGAGCTGCACGCGGACAGGTGTGTGCGTAATTAAACATGTAACCTTCAAAAACTACACAAACATGCCGTTTTATATCTCAGAAATAGGATGTTTAAGTTAATAATGATATTAAATTTGTATTTGTAAAGCACTTTTCATGCAAGATTTTTACATCAGGCCAGACTTTAAAACCTTTTAGTACATAACATGATGTAACGGTTTAACACTTTAAGAGAAACAGCAGGTAAAAGGCATGATAATACAAAAATAAAAACACAATCAAATAAATATATGATCCCTCTTGGTCAAATAAAGGAATACAAAATCAATAAATACGATAACATGTAAACAAATCTATTCAATAAATAAAACAATACAAAAAAATAAAAATTGCAAATAAGATAACAAAATAAATAATTCATAGGAATAAAAAAAGTGTAAATGTTTGAAAGACCAAGTTAAAAAATGGGAATGTCGCTAATAAAAATGGTAAAATAAATAAGTCAATACCTTAGAAATAAATAAAACAATATGAAATAAATAAATAAGAGAATAAAAGACTATTTAAAAAAAGTGGGGAGTCGCTAGTAAAAAGCAAATTTAAAAAGAGAACGACACTTCAACGCGAAAAATAAAATAGAAGCAGGCCTGTTTCTCCTTGCTTCCGGTACCCTCTCACCTACCTGTGGCTGCCCGCTCTCGGAGCCTCATGTCCGGCTCCCTCGCTCTGTGTCCCGGCTCCATGTCTCCGCACCAGGCGCCAGCAGAGTGAAGTAGAATGAGGGTGGAGGAGATGAGGGTGGAGGAGATAAGGCTGTCCGCTGTCCGCTTCCTCCACCCAGCAGCAAGCAGCAAGTAGCAGCCGGTTCGTGTTTGGTGTGTGACTGGCGGTGCTACAGCGGGAAGTGTGTTAAGGTTGGCGGCTGCACACTGCACTATATGGGCGCTGACGAGGAATCTAATTGGCCCAAATTGGAACGGGACACCCACTTTTGAGGGGAGAAAACCGCCTAACCTGTAGTAAAATGTCTCAGGGGTAAAATATAAAAATAGCCTCGAATAGGCACTGAAATACTCTCACAAGATATAGATAGATAGATAGATAGATAGATAGATAGATAGATAGATAGATAGATAGATAGATAGATAGATAGATAGATAGATAGATAGATAGATAGATAGAGTTTATTCAACCCAAATGATTAGTCAAAAATATTTCAGTAAAACATTTTTAAAAGATCAAATAATACAAATGAACATTAGTGGCAAGTATATAAAAAATAACATTAGCGTACACATTCGCAATAAAAAGGACATTTATCACTAGACTATCTAAATAATACACAATATAATGCAAATATTGAATAATTTGAGTACTCCGCAATATACAGTACAGTCTCACTTAGCTGCAGGGATATATAGAAATATACTACACAGACAGATATTGGATTATATATACAGAATAATTGTGCAAAGTAGCTGTTGTGCAAATTGTTGTGGGTCATGGAAAAAGAAGACACTTTACACCCTATGGAGCAGTGAGTTCTCTCTCTTTATAAGTGTAATATTACACAACCTAATCAACATCCTAATGTCCTAACACGTCGTAGGAAAGATGAATAAGATGTTTTACTGTATTTAATGCTGTGGTTAATTTGGAAAAAGTTGATAAATCATGAAACATTGTCGAAACCTCTTCAATCGTGCAGTCACGTAAATCTTGGGATAATTACTTTGTTTCCCTTACTTTACATTGAAAGTATAGAAAGAAATTCCCTTTACAGTTCAAGTACACTAAAGTGTCCTTCTACAACCTTTAATAACACTCAGGACAATAAAGTTATACGGAGTTCATTTTCTCTAAAATTGA